TAACCTCTGTTTCTGGAGGTTGTGACTTCTGTTTCTGGAGGTCGTGACCTCTGTTCCTGGAGGTCGTGACCTCTGTTTCTGGAGGTCGTGACCTCTGTTTCTGGAGGTTGTGACCTCTGTTCCTGGAGGTCGTGACCTCTGTTTCTGGAGGTCGTGACCTCTGTTTCTGGAGGTCGTGACCTCTGTTTCTGGAGGTCGTGACCTCTGTTTCTGGAGGTTGTGACCTCTGTTTCTGGAGGTCGTGACCTCTGTTTCTGGAGGTCGTGACCTCTGTTCCTGGAGGTCGTAACCTCTGTTTCTGGAGGTTGTGACTTCTGTTTCTGGAGGTCGTGACCTCTGTTTATGGAGGTCGTGACCTCTGTTCCTGGAGGTCGTGACCTCTGTTCCTGGAGGTCGTGACCTCTGTTTCTGGAGGTCGTGACCTCTGTTTCTGGAGGTCGTGACCTCTGTTCCTGGAGGTCGTGACCTCTGTTCCTGGAGGTCGTGACCTCTGTTTCTGGAGGTCGTGACCTCTGTTTCTGGAGGTCGTGACCTCTGTTCCTGTGGTTGAACATCATTGGAATCGTTTCGTTTCACTTTGTCCTGGAAATTAATCACTTTCTTCTCACTAACAAGGTAAAAGACGTTTGTTTTAAAGTCGTTTCCAGAATCTTCCTCATTAAACTTTATCTAAAGAAATTTAACTCTAATGTTGATGTGAATTAATGTGACGTTTTCTCAGTCGCTCTAAAGTATTTTGGCAACATTTTTGTAACTTTATTGATTCCATAATATCAGCAGGATTTTAGTTATAAATATTTTATTCATATTTCAATCAAATGGAGGAATGAATGTGAAAAGTTTCCTTATCAATTTAATAATTATTAAGGCTAAATTTCACCTTCATAAATGCAAATGTTTAAAGAAAAAAACAAACTTTTCTGTTTTTTTGATTGAACTTAAATATTATTTATTAACAATTTAATCCTCAACCAACCAAAGAACAAAATCAACAATATGGGCTTGAATCAATTTGTTGGATGATCTTTTATATTAATATTAATCTGGCACATATATCACAATTTGTTCTATTTTCTTGTCTTCATGCTTTTCTTTATGCTCCCCTGATAAATTGTTATTAATGTCTTTTTATGTTATATCCACATTCTGACTGTATGGTTGTTTATTGTCATAAATAAAGTTTATAAAGATAAAATTTCTCTGCGCTCTCATTGGTCAGGAAGCCTGTGGGCGGGCTTCCAGCTGCTGCTGGCCAATCAGAGGCCGCCGCTGCTGTTAAAGGTTCAGCAGCAGCTGTTTCCAGGAGACCGAGTGACGTCATGGCCGCTCTGCTGCCGGAGACTCTGAGGAGGGGGGGGTCCGGGCGGGCATGCGCAGTTTGGACCGGACCTGCTGGTTCCGACCAGCTGTTTGGGTTGAAAGTTTCTACCAGAACTCTGGAGGAACCAAACAGAACCTTGGACTCTGGTCGGGTTGAACCGAGTTGGTCCCTTTAAATCTTTACAAAATGGGGAATAATTAAAATATTCATAATGTTTTATGAAATGATTAATGATCAGCTGTGAAGCTTCTTCCTGTCAAACATCTGATAGAAAAACTGATGGAGGTTCAGACTTTACCTGCTTTTATTCTGGAAGGGTTTGACCTTTGACCTTTGACTGGTGCTAGTGTTTGATTCCTCCAGTAACTCAGAACTGAACAAAGAGACTTTAGAGGAAATAATCCCTTCATCTCATCCTGTCTAATCTGCTCAGATTGATTCTGTTCTGGTTTCAGTCTGTAGACTGTCTGAGGTCTGGATGATGTTTGTTGACCTGCTGACCATCAGCATCCCGCCGCCGCTGGAAGATGACCTTTGACCAGAAGAGCCAAAGCTCTTCAGCAGGTTTTCCTCCAGGGTTCATCTCCGTCCTGTCCCACAGCATGATGCTGCCACTGCCATGTTTCACCCAGAGGAGGAGAGACAAAATCTCTGGATGTTTTATAAACTGATTCAGGAAAGAAAATCAGTAAAAAATCATTTAGAGAAACTTTGAGTTTCTTCTCTGATTTGTTTCCTCTGAACTTTGATTCAGAAACAAAATCAATCAATAAATTTGATTTGTGTTTCAGCAACAAGGCGTCCAAAGATCTTTGCAGCGTTAAAGTTTAATGTTTATATGAAGTGAAGATAAACATCGTCTGATTGGATGAAGAAAAGAAACGTTAAAATATAAATCAAAGAACTTTCTGATCAACCAGAAACTGATCTGACATTATAGATCAATATATTTCAGCAAATTCAATTTAAATAAAAGTTTTGTTTTAATCTCTGCTGCAGTTCAACAACCAGCCACCAGGAGGAGCTGCAGCACAAGTTTCTCTCTGTTCAGGTTTCAGCGTCCCTCTCAGCTGAGTCAACCTCTTCTTCAGTGTCTGATCCACTGTCCACAGACATTTTCTCTGGAAAATGAAGTAACAATATCCATCATGTTACATTATGAAGCATTGCATATGCTGCCAGCACAGTCTTAGCGCTTTCCTTGTTTCTACTACCATTCAAGTGAGTAATTTACAATGTGAAATTATAATTGAATTTCCCAGAGATTAAAACAAGCGAACAAAAAAAGTACAAGAATTAGAATATGCAATATGAAAAATGCCTGCTGCGCTACTTCTTCAAACAGTTCTCAATGTCTGACACTCAAACTGTTGTAGATGTCATCTTTTTTTTAATTTACAAAATCAACATCAAAATAAATAAAATGTGCCATGGCAGGGGGTCAAATTAAATCTTCACTAATAAATCATAATTTACCTTGTGGATCGATGCTGATTTCATCCAAGAGAAGACATTTTCTCCCTCACTTCATTTCTTGCCTCCTTGTAACGAGCCTCACATCTATTTGATGGGCTTTAAGTTTCTGCAGGCGACGAGCTGGACGCGTTTCATCCTATAAAATACAGAAAACAAGCATTTGTAAATGTTCACATCTGTGAAATTAAACAGATTGGAGACGCAGCAAAAGGCCCCAGATATAACTGGAACCTTCCCACATTGAGAATGATGCCTCCAGGTGAAACATTAAGTCAATGATCAGCAACTACTGGGGCTTAAGGGTTGCTACAGCACACCTCATTCAAATCAAATCATTCTCCAATAGCTTGTTAGCAAACATTTGTTAATGATCCATTAATTTGGATCCAGTGTGGTGGAACAGGAAAACATCTTTACAGGACACCAGCCTTTATGGTCAGTTGAAAAAGTAGAAGTGAACCAGCAGAGTATTAAAAAAATTCCACAATATATTGAAAATCAGAATTCTTAACGGGCCTGATTTAGTCATCATCTACATTTTGTCTTCTCAAAATATTTCTCGGTCTTATCAGTAGGTTGCAAATGTTGCATTTGGAATTATAAATAAATATCCAACCTGCAGTATTCAAAAATTTCAACAATTCTTTAAAATTTCTAACTTTTTCAATTTAATACTCAAGATTGGAACAACTATATTAAACGTTATTAAATAAAATTAGCAAAGCCAGAACAAGTCAATAATGGTCAAATGCAAAAAGGAAAAGCAGTTGAGGTGGATTCTACCAACACTCACCCTTCCTGTTAGAGATGACAACACAAATCTCTATTTCATAGATATTTAGAAACAACTGGCATTTGAAATAAAATCACCAAAGGACAGATGTGCTGAGCCTTTTCTTTAAGAAAAACCTGACTTAGTATTCTTAAATAAAACATTAACTGATATTGTGGTAGCTTCTTCTAAAATCATCTAAAATCATATAAAAATATATCATTTTAATAGACTTGTTGTCACACCTCACTTCTCTCATCTGAGCAGTTATAATTTACATTATATTGATTTAGTGGAAACAATAATGCAAAACAACTTAAAGGTGGAAAAACATTGTGGGCTAAAGCATCTTTCCCTGAGATAATTCACCTGTTAAACTGGAACAGCTGGGTGTAGACTCCACTGCACCGTCACTCCTATCACTGGATCTACTTCTCTGGTTTGCATTTTCATGGAAGAAAACACACACACACACACCACACACACACACACACACACACACACACACACACACACACACACCTTCACACACACACACACACACACACACACACACACACACACACACACACACACAGACACAGACACACACACACAGACACACACACACACACACCTTCACACAGACACACACAGACACACACACACACACACACACAGACACACAGACACACACACACACACACACAGACACACACACACACACACACTCAGACACACACACACACACCTTCACACACACACACACACACAGACACACACACACACACACACACAGACACACACACCCGAGACCACACACACACACACCTTCACACACACACACACACACACCTTCACACACACACACACACACACACACACACACAGACACACACACACACAGACACACACACACACACACACACACACACCTTCACACACACACACACACACACACACACACACCTTCACACACACACACACACACACCTTCACACACACACACACACACACACACACACACACCTTCACACACACACACACACAACTTCACACACACACACACACACCTTCACACACACACACACACCTTCACACACACACCCCCAGACACACACACACACACACCTTCACACACACACACACACACACACACACACACACCTTCACACACACACACACACACACACCTTCACACACACACACACACACACACACACACACACCTTCACACACACACACACACAACTTCACACACACACACACACACACCTTCACACACACACACACACACACACCTTCACACACCACACACACCTTCACACACACACACACACACACCTTCACACACACACACACAGACACAGACACACACACACACACCCCGAGACACACACACACACACACACACACACACACACACACACACACACACCACACACACACACACACACACACACACACACACACACACACACACACACACAGCGTCACAGGAGGAGGATCAGCAGCTGCTGGTTCCGCCTGCCAGTCCACATTCTGGGTTTATTTCTCTTCGGTCCGTCCTGCTGGTTCTGATCCGGTTCTGTCGGGTCCATCTCAGTCTGTCCGGCGGTTCGGACAGCCGGGTCGGGTTCCTCTGGGTCTGAGAGGAATCGTTCAGGAAGGAAGTTTGGTTCGTAAATCCTGATTCCGTCCGCAGAGACGAACCGAACCGAACCGAACCTCCGGGATGCTGTCAGCGAATCCCGGACTTTCTTCGTGATCCCGGATCCGGATCTTCTCTGAGGAACGAGATTATTTCAGATTTTATTCTGGATTTTCCTTCTGGATCCAACAGAAAAGTTCTGGTTCCTGATTGGATCACTGAGGAGCAACAAGGAAAAGTTCTGCTGAGGCTCCTGGGAACTGGACCGGCCCGGTTCTGAAGGTGAGCAGCTGCTGGATTAGAGATTAAAACGTTCAGGTTTTATGACCCTTCACAATAAAAGGATCACAAGGTTCTTCTGGACCGGCACCGGTTCTGAAGAACCTTCCATCAGAACAACTTCAAAATAAAGTCATAAAATAAATCAATGTTTTCCGTCACTGATCAACTTTGATCAGTTTTTATAATAATTAATATAAAATATAAAGAGAGAAAAACTAAATTAAACATTTTTATTCATCTTTAATGTTTTTATATTATTTATTTCTGCTCTCAGATTAAAATCGGCATAAATTTAAAATATTAATGTCTGAAAAATTCAGACAATCAGTAAAAATATATTTAAATATCAAAACATAAAAATAAATTTAGATTCAAACTGAACAGAAACATCCAGGTTTTATTTTAATATCAATAATATGATTTTAATTTCCTTCATTAACTGGATATTAATATTTTCATTTAGTGAAAAGTTTCTCATATTTCATTTCCATCCAATAATTAAATTCATAAAATGTTTTTTTATCCCTGAAATTATTAAAATTAATTTGTTTTAATGAATCCAACCAAGAAATAACAAAAATAACCATCAATAAAAAAATAACCATCAACCTTCATGAATAATGATTATTAGTTATTAATTATCAGTTATTAGTTATTTATGTGTAAATTGTGATAGTTTGTTAAACTGATGTCACTTTTTAAATGTTGTTCTGGTGACAATGATAATAAAAACTTTGAATCTTTTATCTTCAAATAAAAAAACTTATTTTAAAATTAAAGTAAAAACTTTTTCTAAGTTTCTCAGAAATTAAACTGGAAGGAAAAGAAATAATTTTATTACTGATGTAAAAAAATAAAAAGCAAACAATAAAATATTTCTGGGTTATTTTATCTGGTTTCCATCCCGACTCAACAGAACCAGTTTGGATCCAGACGAAGTTCTGCTGGTTTCATTTTCCTGTCCGGAGTCGAATCGGATCGTCTGGAAGGAAACTGGAGGTTCCTACTGGTTCCTGCTGGTTCCTGCTGGTTCCTGCTGGTTCCTGCTGGTTCCAGATTCCTACTGGTTCCTGCTGGTTCCTACTGATTCCTACTGGCTCCAGATTCCTACTGATTCCTACTGGCTCCAGATTCCTACTGGTTCCTACTGGTTCCTGCTGGTTCCTACTGGTTCCTGCTGGTTCCTGCTGGTTCCTACTGGTTCCTGCTGGTTCCTGCTGGTTCTTACTGGTTCCTGCTGGTTCCTGCTGGTTCCACATTCCTACTGGTTCCTGCTGGTTCCTACTGGTTCCTGCTGGTTCCTACTGGTTCCTGCTGGTTCCTACTGGTTCCTGCTGGTTCCAGATTCCTACTGGTTCCTGCTGGTTCCTACTGGTTCCTGCTGGTTCCTACTGGTTCCTGCTGGTTCCAGATTCCTACTGGTTCCTGCTGGTTCCAGATTCCTACTGGTTCCTGCTGGTTCCTACTGGTTCCTACTGGTTCCTACTGGTTCCTGCTGGTTCCTGCTGGTTCCTACTGGTTCCTGCTGGTTCCTGCTGGTTCCTGCTGGTTCCTGCTGGTTCCTGCTGGTTCCACATTCCTACTGGTTCCTGCTGGTTCCTACTGGTTCCTGCTGGTTCCTACTGGTTCCTGCTGGTTCCAGATTCCTACTGGTTCCTGCTGGTTCCTACTGGTTCCTGCTGGTTCCAGATTCCTACTGGTTCCTGCTGGTTCCTACTGGTTCCTGCTGGTTCCTACTGGTTCCTGCTGGTTCCAGATTCCTACTGGTTCCTGCTGGTTCCAGATTCCTACTGGTTCCTGCTGGTTCCTACTGGTTCCTGCTGGTTCCTACTGATTCCTACTGGCTCCTGCTGGTTCCTACTGATTCCTGCTGGTTCCTACTGATTCGTACTGGTTCCTGCTGATTCCTACTGGCTCCTGCTGGTTCCTGATTCCTGCTGGTTCCTACTGATTCCTACTGGTTCCTGCTGGTTCTTGCTGGTTCCTACTGGCTCCTACCGGTTCCTGCTGGCTCCTATTGGCTTTTGTTGGTTCCTACTGGCTCCTACTGGTTCCTGCTGGTTCCTACTGGTTCCTACTGGTTCCTGATTCCTGCTGGTTCCTACTGGTTCCTACTGGTTCCTGCTGGTTCCTGCTGGTTCTTGCTGGTTCCTACTGGTTCCTACTAGTTCCTGCTGGCTCCTATTGGCTTTTGTTGGTTCCTACTGGCTCCTACTGGTCCTGCTGGTTCCTACTGGTTCCTGATTCCTGCTGGTTCCTACTGATTCCTACTGGTTCCTGATTCCTGCTGGTTCCTACTGGCTCCTACTGGTTCCTGCTGGTTCCTGCTGGTTCCTACTGGTTCCTACTGGTTCCTGATTCCTACTGGCTCCTACTGGTTCCTGCTGGTTCCTGCTGGTTCTTGCTGGTTCCTACTGGCTCCTACTGGTTCCTGCTGGCTCCTATTGGCTTTTGTTGGTTCCTGCTGGTTCCTACTGATTTCTGCTGGTTCCTACTGGTTCCTGTTGGTTCTGATCCATTTAAGGTTTGGATTTTGCAGCAACATCAGGAATTTTATTCACTTTGGAGAAAATTATGAACCGGAGGGAAAAAATTGACTGAAAACATTTTCATGTCCTAAACCTGCTGCAAACTTTAAAGGTTCATTTTAAACTGAAAAATAATCCAGAAGAATAAAAGTGTCAGAAATGAACTTGTTGCTGTTTGGTTCATTCAGAGGGAAACGACTCGTCTCTCTTTCTGTCCTTCAGATCGTCTCCAGGAAGTGAAGATCCAGGATTTCCTTCCACCAGGAAAACTTTTTGTCTTCAGTGTCGTTTTGCTTTTTCTACTGTAACGAAGCCAAACTGAGGATCCAGGAAACCGACGGATCAGGATCATGTTGGAGAGCTGCAGGTTTCAGGAAACAACTTCCTGATCCAAACCAGGAAAATCTGGAAATGAAACGGATTCAGGAAAAAGTTCAGCTTCCAGCCGGACGATGGACAGTTTCTACCAAACAGGCTGAACTTTGTTTTCTTGGGTTTCAAAGCAAATTTTAAAATAAACCTGAAATATTTGATTGAAATTAACAACAGAAGTTAAGAAAGACAAACAGGAAATCCTGGATATGGAGGATTTTCATGATGAAAATCATCTGGAGATGAAAAATGGAGAATTAAATCTGACGATATGCAGATGACAACGTTGTTAATATCAAAGCTCAGAAAACTTAATCTGAGTTTATTAATCTGAGCTCATCTGGTTCAATAAGGGATCAGAATTTCCTCTGAAGTCGGACGAGTGTTTGGTTTGTTTCCTGTGGTTGCCATGGTTCCTGGAGCGCCGGGTGGTTCAGGCGGCGGCGGTTCAGGCGGCGGTTCAGGCGGCGGACGCTGCCTGCTGCGCTGGCTGGCTCTGCGGTTCTGGTCCCGTCGGGGAACGCTGCTCTTCGCTCTGCTCTGGTTCGGATCCTGGCTCTTCCTCAACGGCCTGGTTCTGGTCCACCGGACCATCCTGTCCGACTTCTGCAGCGACGACAAGAGCAGGAGGATCCTGCAGCGTCTGGTGAGTGAAGAACCTTTGAGTCCTGAACTTCTTTCATTTCTTCAGGAGAATTTGATTGGAGGATTATTCAGGTTTGATGTTTTCTGTCCAGATTCATTTTTCTGTCTGTTTCTGCTGGTTATGAATTAAATATTTCCTGTTGTGCTGAGTGTGTTCGGGTCAGAACCAGGTCGCTCCCGTCCCTCTGATGGTGAACACATGATGTGTTTTCTGTTCCTCGTCGTTTTTGGGTCGATTTTCCTGGTTCTGCTGGTTTTATCCTGATTTGTTCCTGGATTTTCATCTCGTTGGTTTTTCCTTTAATTTCTCTCAGATTCTTAAAGTGGCAGAAAAAAAACAGAAAAATCAAAATGTTCAAACAGTTTGGAATCAGTTCACATCCTGCTGGATCCATGATTCATCATGAAGCCACAAAACTTCCCATCATGCTCGGCTCTGGTCCAGTTCTGATCCAGCTGTAATCCGGTTCTGATCTGGGTCATTATCGGTTCTGATCTGGTTCTGATCCGATCAGCAGTGGTTCTGGTCTGGTTCAGCAGCGGTTCTGATCCGATCAGCAGCGGTTCTGATCCGGTTCTGGTCCGGATCAGCAGTGGTTCTGATCTGGTTCTGATCCGATCAGCAGTGGTTCTGGTCTGGATCAGCAGCGGTTCTGGTCCGGTTCAGCAGTGGTTCTGGTCCGGATCAGCAGTGGTTCTGGTTGCCTTCGGGCCTCATGTTGCCTCAGTGACTCAGAGTTCTGCCGGCTCAGGAACCGGATCGGTTCTGGCTTGTCTGGGCGGCTGGTTCTGTTCAGACCTGAAGAATCGTCTCTTCTTGTCCCGGTTCTGTCAGCCGCAGATTAACGGGTCGACTGACGGATGTCTGGAAAGTTTCATTTTGCATAAAAGTAACAAGTTAGTCTGGAGAAAAGCTTCAGGCAGAAAGCTGAGAGAAACGGGTCAGAACCAGAACCTCCTGGAGGAACTTCAGGATCAGAACCAGAATCTGAGGTTCATGAAGCTGCAGCTGTTTATGATTTAATCTCTGCAGTCTGTAGATTAACACAGAAACTGATCAGAGGAAAGTTGGCTGGAAGGAAAACCTCAGGTTCTGTTTTTTGTTCAGAAAGAAAAACCTGAAAAGGTAAAACTGCAGATTCCATGGAAACGAAGAAGAACATCGAGACGAAACGACTGACAACCGGATCAGAACCAAATCGGATCAGAACCAAACCGGATCAGAACCGAACCGGATCAGAACCGAACCGGATCAGAACCAAACCGGATCAGAACCAAACCAGATCAGAAAGAACCGGATCAGAACCAAACCGGATCAGAACCAAACCAGATCAGAAAGAACCGGATCAGAACCGAACCGGATCAGAACCAAACCGGATCAGGATCAGGAGATCCGGTCTGATCCGTTCCTTTGTGGGTCTGTGGTTCTGGTTCTGTCAGACTGGACCAGAACTTGTGAGAAACCAAACAGAAACGTCTGCAGGTTAATCTGTTCGGTTCAAACTGGAGTTCATTTCTGATTTATTGAAATGATTTCATAAGTTAGTTTGTAAATCTTCTAATAAAATAATTTTAAATTGATTATTTAAAATAAATCATTTGATTTCTGGATGTTTTAAGATTTGTGATTAATTTCCTAAAACTTGTGAATTTAATTTGTGGTTTAATTAATTAGACAAATAGAAACTGACTGCCAACCAGATTAATATTAATAACTTAGTGGTTATGAGTTTCTGTCTGAATGCCAGTAAAAATGAACCAGGAAGTAAAAATCAGATACAGAAAGTAGATTTTTACTTCCTGATATGAAAATCTAATAACTGGTTTGTTTCTGGCTTTTATTGGTTTAAATGAATCTCAGAAAATTTGAAAGTTGCTTTAAGTTCATGAAACAGTTTGTTGGTTTCTAGACTGTTTCCCACAATGCATTGCAGGACCGTTAACAGGAAGGAGTTTACCTCCCGCTGGTTTCTGGGTCGGATCCAGTTGGGAGCAGCTGAGGGTTCATGTGGAACCGGACCGAGTCGTTCTGGTTCTGGTTCTGGTTCACATCAAAGAAAACAGAATCTGAGATCAGAGGAAGGAAACATTTCAGATAGTTGGGATCAATAACTTTGTGATCAATAACTCTGAGATCAATAACTCTGAAATCAATAACTCTGAAATCAATAACTCTGAAATCAATAACTCCCTCTGAGGCTGGAAGACCCCTGGTCGTCATCATCATCATCATCATCACCATCATCATCATCATCACCACCATCATCATCATCACCATCATCATCATCACCATCATCATCATCATCACCATCATCATTATCATCATCATCACCATCATCATCACCTTCACCATCATCATCACCTTCATCATCATCATCATCATCATCATTGTAAACCTTATGCCACATTCGGCAGCTAAAACAGAGTTTCCCGTACCAACAACGCAGCGTCGTAGTGTACGAACATTGACACTCGTAACAATATCGTTAGACTCAGGAAATCAGGGCTTCTAGACTCCATCTGCACGGAAACGCGAACCGTACTCGTTAGCCTCGGACTGCTTCTCCGAGCGGCTAGTGAAACAGGGGTCCCTCCAACAACCACAGGACGCCCATGGAAACGTCGTAGAGGCGCGATAGGAAGCAGAAGCGTGGCTGTCGCGGAGGACTAACAGCTAAGCTAAAAGCTAACCCGTACAGATTGCCGCTTCCTTCACTGCTGCTCGCCAACGTACGCTCCCTGGAAAATAAGATGGACTATCTCAAGCTGGAGCTACACTCAAAGCTGGAAACAAGAAACTGCTGTGCCATTGTCCTCACTGAAACATGGCTCAGTGCATCGGTCCCAGATAGCGCAGTTGCCTGGACGGCTAACAACATTCAGAGCCGACAGAAGCGGTGCTCTCACAGGTAAAACCCGAGGGGGTGGCGTTTGCATCTACACGAAGAACAGCTGGTGTAACAACGCTTCCAGGGTCTCCAGTCACTGCTCTATAGACATTGAACTCCTGACTGTGAGATGTCGACCCTTTTATCTGCCACGTGAATTCACCAGCGTCACCATTGTTGCTGTTTACATCCCACCCAGCGCCAACACGAAGCAAGCCTCAGTGTTCTCTACAACAACATCACGGACATGCAAGCCACACAACCGGAAGGTGTTTTTATTGTTGCTGGCGACTTCAACCAGGCCAACATGAAGACCGTGCTTCCAAACTTTCACCAATGTGGACTTTGCTACTAGAGGGGAGACTCTGGACCTTGTCTACACCAACATAAAGAAGGCCTACAGAGCAGCACCCCCCCCCACCTGGGCTCCTCAGACCATCTCTCTGTCATGCTAATTCCTGCATACCATCAGAGAGAGACCTGCAGTGAAGAAGGTGAGAGTATGGCCTGAGGGCGCCATGTCTGCACTGCACGACTGTTTTGAGTGCACTGAATGGGGCATCTTCAAGGAAGCAGCAACAGACAACCAGCGCACCAACGTGGAGGAGTACGCTGCATCTGTATCCGACTATATCAGTTGGTGCAAAGAGACAGCAACAAAAACAATAGTCACTCAGGCAAACAAGAAACCTTGGATGACCAAGGAGGTGGGAACGAAGCTGAGAGAACGCAATGCTGCTTTCAGATCTGGTGATGCTGCGGCTCTCAGGTCTGCGAGGGTCAACCTGAACCGGGCCATCAGAGACGCTAAGCGAGCCCACAGCCGGAAAATCCAGGGTCTCTTCCAGGACTCCAACAACACCAGGAAACTGTGGCAGGGCATCCAGTCTATCACAGACTACAAACCCACACCTCCATCCTGCCAGACCGACACTGGCTTCCTCAACGAGCTCAACAACTTCTTCGGAAGATTTGAGGAGCTGAACAACAACCCTGCGAGGAAAGCGACGCCACTCCTCGATGAACAGGCGCTCAGACTAGAAACATCAGCAGTGCGGAAGGTTCTGAGGAAGGTCAACGCGCGGAAAGCTGCAGGTCCGGACAACATTCCAGGTCTGCTAATCAAGGAATGCTCGGACCAGCTGGCCCACGTGCTCACGGACATCTTCAACACGTCCCTGGACCAGGCTGTCGTCCCACGGTGCTTCAAGTCTGCCACTGTCGTTCCGGTCCCGAAGTCAACATCATCACATGCCTTAATGACTTCCGCCCCGTCGCACTGACATCCACCATCATGAAGTGCTTCGAAAGACTTGTTAAGGACCACATCATCTCCACGCTCCCCCCATCACACGACCCTTTCCAGTTTGCATACCAGTCCAAGCGCAGTGCTGAGGATGCAGTCTCCACTGCTCTCCACCTGAGCCTGGAGCATCTGGAGGAGAAGAACACCCACGTGCGGATGCTGTTCCTGGACCTCAGCTCAGCGTTCAACACCATCATCCCCCAAGACCTGGTGGGCAAACTGGGCCCCTTAGGAATTAACACCCCCCTCTGCAACTGGCTGCTGGACTTCCTCACTGACAGACCCAGGCTGTCAGAATGGAGAACAACACCTCCGATGTCATCACCCTGAACACCGGCACCCCTCAGGGCTGTGTCCTGAGTCCCCTGCTGTTCACCCTGATGACCCACGACTGCCGTCCACACTTCATATCCAACCACATCCTGAAGTACGCGGACGACACCACAGTGGTGGGCCTCATCCGGGACAACAACGAGACGGCCTATAGGGAGGAGGTGCGGCATCTGGTGGACTGGTGCAGAGGAAACAACCTGATCCTGAATGTCAACAAGACCAAGGAGATCATCATAGACTTCAGGAAATCCAGACCCACCCACAGACCACTCCTCATCAACGACTCAGCTGTGGAGGTCGTCAGCAGCACCAAGTTCCTGGGGGTGCACATCAACGACAACCTCAGCTGGTCTCCCCACATCTCCTCACTGGTGAAGAAGGGCCAGCAGCGCATGCACTTCCTGCGTGGGATGAAGAGAGCATCCCTCCCGCCCCCCATCCTTCAGACCTTCTACAGAGGGACCATCGAGAGCC